AAGCTTGATCCTTTAGGGTGGATTTGGTATTTTGAGAATTTTTGGTATTGAAATAAAGACAGCCATGTAAACTATCCAATGATTTTCCATTCTAATACCAAGTGGACAAGAGAGTCTTACAAGAATGTAATAGCTAAGTGCTGATAAATAATCTGTAGGAGAAAAGTATGTGTACAAAGCTTTCTTAGGGTGTTGAAGCCCGAGTGAGCTACTGCCTTAGGTAACCATGGGCCTACAAATAATGATGTGAAAACCCTGAACTCTGGGAAAAGGAGAAGAAAAAACAAAGAAAGACCCAGAAGGGGTAAAGCTAAAAACCAAACCAACTCATAGCATAGTGCATGCCTAGCATATACAAGGACCTGGAAATTTTTTTCCAGTGCTGGAAAAAACTTAAATATCAATAATTTCATAACTCTGTAGGCTGGCTGGGATGGTCAAGTTCCCCAGGGCATAGACACAAAGCAGAAGAAAAATATGAAGCAATCCTGAACACCAGCTCCATCAGTAGTCTGCTAAAGCCTGAGAAAAGCCTGTTAATTCCAAATAGAATGTATCAAATAGAACACAGGAGACTTCTAGACTTTCTGCCCTTCCATTACATTTGTATTATTCATTCTACCCGGAAACAGGTTAAAAAAAAAAAAAGCGTAGGAAGGAGGCATGATGAAGAAAAACACATCTTCCTTTTTTCTAAAAGTACTTTAAAGATCCAAATGCCTATGGCATGTATCTTATAATATCAAAACCCTTCCTCTACTGGATTTAGACTCTAGAACACCAAAATGATAAGCATGCAAGCCTTCAGTCTATAGCAGTCAAAAAAAAAAAAAAATTCTTCTAATGAATCAATTTAGGATTTGACTGCCACCTACTTGGAGAGACAAAAATAACACAAGCTAATTGCAGGATATGTAATATTCAAACATGTTTTTTGTTTTTTGTTTTTTTCCCTATCATCCTAGAGCCAGACTGTTTCCCAAATGTAAGATGATTCTTGGCACCACAATCACGAATGCTAACTAGCTGGTATGTGTGGCAATGTAAATCAGAAAAGTATAAACACCTTAAAGTTTCACAAATATGAGATGAGGTTAGATGAACTCGGGTGTGGAAAGGTGAGCGGACTGTTAAGGAACATCAAATTAAACTACATACATGGTACAAGGATGGCACCAGAGTTGGGCAACTTGAAGAGCTGCAGCTTGGTTAAGAGCTGTCTAAGTTGTATCTTCTATCTGCAGACACTGTGTGTCTGGGTTTCATTTACATGTAAGGGAGGGAAGGTATCTCTGCAGAAACAATGTCTCCTACTACTCACACATTTTTTTCCATCGAAAAGTTTCTGCTCTCTCAAAGAGAAACTATCCCCCAAGCAGAAGCAAGGAGGACTGCGGAATTACAAGTGGTTGCTTTCCTTCATACGTGCTTACCAGTTACGCCAGGATTGAAAATAGCGGATTCCTTCGTTTGACAAGTTTCATTATAGAAAATGTATTTCCATTTAATCTACCCTGTTAGCTTAAAATTTCAAGGAACTGAACTCCTGTCAACTTATCGTAATAGAATGCGCTTTAATGACCTACCCTGTTGTCACAGTGCTCAATTATTTAGCACAGAACTTAGAAGTTTCAAGAAAACTCTTAAGCACTGGGTCAGCATTTATTACCGCTTACACTCGCTAATACTGGAATATACCAGTGAGAATCACAAGATCAGTTTCTCTTCTGATAGCCAGTATTAATGACCATGATCAATTTCTCGTGTGATAAATTTTACACTATCAGCTTTAGCTACGAGAAAAACTGAAAAGTCAAGTATCTGAAAAAATGGTTAACAACATTAGAAGGATCAGCTCACCGTAATTTTATCATCTGGGCTGGAGATGGCGGCAGGTCTTAAAACTAGACCAACTTTCTGCTGGTAGAGTGGTGGTTGGACAGGTGTTAAGTGTCTACTAACACTATTTACCAAACTACCTAACCTCAGCTGCTCAGTTCCTCTCAGCCATCTAATTCTTCCCCCAGACTCCACTTATGCATGCTCTATTGCCTATAATGTAGTGATTGATTTTTATATAAATGGTGGCATGCTATAGATACTGATCTGCATTTCAGTTTTTTCTTTTCTCAAAATAAGTTTAAGATTTGTCCATTGTGATATATTATAAAGCCACCTCCTTTACATTAGAGGAGTAATATTCCATCCTATGAATATGTTATAATTTAGTTTGTCAGTCCTGGAAGAAAAGACACTTTAGTTGCTTTCAGTATTAGCAATGTATACAATCCCCACAGGCCTATTTTGACACTGTGAGTCAGCGTGTGTAGCAGGGGAATTGCCGTTACAACAGAACCTTCAGCGCTGGCTGCTGGTAGTTGGGTGCAGGACCGCACTACATTTACGTGTTACGGTTTTTTCGTGTGGGTGCCCATTTGGGTGGGTGTACCCAAATGTGTGTGTGCGTATGTAAGCACAAGTAAGAAAAGGCCGGAGGTCAACGCCAGGTGCCCACTTCGATTGCTTCCCGTTTATCATTCATTTGCTCGTTCATTCGTTTAGTGAGATGGTCTCTCACTGAACCTGCAGCTCACCAGTTTGCCCAGGCTAACTACCAATGATCTCCAGAAGCCACCTTTCCCTGCCTTGCCAGTATAGTGGCTACAGGTATGTACCATAGTTCCTGGGTCTTACATGGCTGCTGGGGCCCAAAGTCAGGCAGATGTTCAAGTGTGTGAGACGAACGCTTTACTGTCAGAGCCTCTCCCTTGAATTTAATCCCCCTGGATTAAAATGAAAAGCATAATCTTTCTTCTCTCTGCCTGGTGTAGAATATGACTCTTTATGTCATGTCTTACTGATACACACTTTGGTAATATGTGCACGTAAACACTTCTAAATGCGGACACCTCATAATCTTTAACACATAGTGTCTTAATCACTGTTGGCCGGGTGGTAGTGTGGTAGCTATTCTGGTGGTGTGCTGACAAATAACTGCCATTCCTGGCCATTTCAGTCAAACCACTGAAGAGCCATTTGAGGAAGAAACGGGAATCATATGTGAGAAGACTTCTGATGACACCATCTGGTAAGACCAGGACAGTACAAGCATGAAATCCTGCAAGCTTCCGAAGAAAGTCAAAGAATGCTGCATCAGCAAAGTGACTGACTCTCTGGCAAGAGAACAATTCTGCAGGAGGGACACACAACCTGTCTGATGGCTAAATCAAAAAGTGAACCAGAAGAATCAGGTTTTCTAACTGTGAGGTGCTAATCATATCTTAACTAATGCATTGTGCTTATAAGATCAATTTTATAGGGACGTAAGAGATAAATGAGAAAATAACAAATATGGTCAAGAGTTCTTTCAGTGAATACAAAGAAAAAAATCCCAAGTCTATTTTTTTACATATATAATACACATAGACACACTGTGTGTGTGTTGTGTACGTGTGTGTGCACGTGTGTATTGTGTCAAATTTTTCGAAATGATCTGTTTGTGTATGGGTGCTTTGTCTGCAAGAACGTCTGTGCACCATGACTAGTGTTGATGGAGGCCAGAAGAAGGCATCAGATCTCCTAGTACTAAAATTATAGATGTGAGTGCTAGGAATAAAATCCAGGTCCTCTGGAACAACAGTCAGTGCTCTTAACCACTGAGCTATCTTTCCAGGCCCTCTTTGTGTATTTCTACTTACTTTATTATCTGTCTATGTCCATCTTTCCATCCATCCATTCATCCATCCATCTAGCTATCATTCAAGATAGGGTCTCACTATATAGCCTAGGCTGTCCTGGAACTCACTCTGTAGACCAGACTAGCCTCAAACTCACAAAGATCTGTGAGCCTGTCTCTACCTCGCAAGCGTTGGGATTAAAAGCATGTGCCACTATGCCCAGCTTTGTATATTTTAAATGCAATATTGTATACTTCATTCATTTATTTATTTAGTGTGTGTGAACACTCAAGTTCTAGTGTGCAGAAAACTTGCACTGGTTAAGTTCTCTCCCTCTCTCATGTGAATCCTGAGGATTTAACTCAAGTGTCGAGTGCCTCTTCCTGCTGAGCCATTCTGCCAGTGCCTTTGTTTTTGTTAGCAGGTTAGTTTTAAATAGACAAGGTATCACTGAGCAGTCCAGGCTGGCCTCAATCTCACAACCCTCCTGCCTCTGCCTCGAGTGCTAACGGTAGCATCATTTTCAGTCTTATTTTTGCTTATTTGTAATTTGCCTATTGTAAATAAGCACTTTGTATGTGTGCCCACAGTTATGCACATGCACTGAGGCCAGAGGAGGGAAACTTTTGTCCTCTGCCTTATTTCTATGAAACAGGGTCTCTTTCTTAATCTGGAACTCATGTTTTTTATTATGCTGGCAGCCAGCAAGTCATGGTGATCCTCCTGTCCTTTACCTGCTACATCCCTCCCTGGAGTTAAAGGTGTGCATGGGCTTACATCTGGCTTATGTGGTTGCTGGCATGCAACCTTGGGGCCTTGTGTTTGCACAGCAAGCATCTTACTCAGAGCAGCATCTTTCCATCCAGTAACTACATTATTGAACTCACTCACGGTTACATTTTTGTTTTTTAGGAGCTTCTCCTAAGGGTTCCAGTTATAAACTAAATGATTACTTAACTCAAATTATTTAAACTTATCAGCTGGTGTTTACATTCAATGAAGGCAAAGACTATTTCTTTTTTAGCTTTAGCTTCAGATTATTTTGCATGAAGTGAGTAATCAACACACATTTGAGTCAATTACATAAATGTATGTTAGTTGATAAAACACAACCCTTTCCTTGACAGACGTGTTGAGTTTAGTTCAAAACACAAAAATATGTTAAGAAACAGTATTCATATCACCATAAACACATACATCATAGTATAAATCCTGTGAGAAAAATGGGCATTTCATTATCCATCCTTTCATCTTTTTGGCTGTAATTTATTATACGTTAATTGTTAGAAGTTTAATTATGAAATAAATGCATTAAGACCTTACCTTTTAGATCTTAGATCTGATGAATCAAACTGGATATTCATAGGTCCAGGATTTACTTCATCTTCTATCTCAGGGATAAGATGCCTAGAATCACTATCCACATTTGCCATTTTTCTCAGATTCCAGGCACTGAGAAAGTCCTATGTAAACCAGAAAGAAGTAATTTAGTTTAACCTTTAAAGCATTTTATTATTTTTAGTATATTTGCATGCAAAAGAAATAGTATGGAACTTTGATGAAGGTATCATTTTTAAAGATGGCCCACTGTTACCCAGGTTGGTCTCCAACTCTTAAGCAAGCTTGGGACTATAGGTACAAAGCCATCATGACTTCAGTGAGGTAAATGATTTACATATTTGTCAGAAATACCAGTAACATGAAACTTTTCTTTCAGCTTAATGAAAAATAAATGAGCCAGGAACATACAGATTCAGTTATCTGGACTCTATACTGAAATAAAATATTTTAAAATATTTAAGTTTTTAGAAAGCTTAAAAAAGAGGGAATGAAACCAGATAAGTTGGCAGCAAGGAAAAGAATCACTGAAATGGCTTCAGGCTGCTTTATCAGAATTGGAGCCGTTATCTTCAAAGCCTCAAGGCTTAGGGAGATAGACAGAGACCAAGGTCCACCTAAAGTAAAACTTTAAGAGTTTATCCTCAGAATAGAGTACAGGAAGTAAATAGGCCTCAGTCTCTCACAAGGAAATAAAGTTTCTCTAACACCATGGCTATTACATAGGTGGCATGAAGAAAAATCCCTTCGACTCTAGGATGTTCTGCGGATTTAAGCACGCCTGCTTCTACAGTAATTCTTCCAGCCAAACATCTCTTCTGAATGCACACTTGCATATCCAACTAGCTAGTCAGCTCTTTATCTGGATATAATTATACCACTCAAACTTAGCATGTGCCAAACTTGATTTTCTTCCTCAAAAAACATATGCATACTGTTTTCCTGACTTCAATTAGTGGAATCTTTGTCCTTCTAATTGTTCTGGTCAAAATTCTTGGAATCATCAGTGACTTCTGTTCTTACACTCAGTTTCTAACCCATTAGCACATTGTATTGTCTTTTCCTTCCCAGAGATCCAGAGCCACACCATCACTTTACCGTTACAATGGTTTTCTTTTTATGAGAACATACTGTTTTTATTATTACTCATATATATGAGATTTTACTTTAAAATCTCACACCATATACTCTCATCCTTAGGTACTTTAACAGAAACTGTTGAAAATAGGACTTTGGGGAGGTTAACGGTAGATTATTGTTTTCCTCATCTATTGGATCAGAATTTTTATTATTTTAGAAGTCTGGGAATCTCTCACAGGCATCATAATATAAACCAAATGTTACTATACTGATATACTCTAGAAGAGCTCATTTACTGAAATATGTTTTGTTTCGCTCACTCTGTTTTCATTGAAAAATCATGACCTATACAATTAAAATTATCTAAAAGCACAGACTATATTTTAGTAAAAACAGCATATGGAATCTAAAACAATTTTCAGGTCAGAAAAGATTGTAAAGGACTCAGCTACATCTTGGTCTTCAATGAGGGCCCCCAAACAATATTTAATGAACATAATAAAGAATTACAACAGCTGAGTGGCGCTCCTTGCTACTACCCCTGCCCTACAGTCTGTTCTACAATAAAGGGCACAAAAAGAGACGTAGAACAGCGCAACATAAAAATAACTTGACAGCATCCAATTAGTTGGTACAACTTGGAGGAGGATTGTGTAGTGATCCACAAATGGCAGAGATCAGCAATACTGCTAAACATCTTGTAACACATGAGACAACTTCCCCAAAAAATTATCTGGGCAAAATCGAATCCCTTCTGCCACAGAGAAGGCACGATAAGAGGTTGTAACTGGAAAGACGGGAGATCTCACCTGGTAATGACAGCATTCAACTTCTTCCATCTAATTCTAGCTACAGGGATATCTGCTCTATAGCACTCGTTCTCTCTCTCTCATCCCTTTCTCTGTGTGTCTGTGTTTAATACACTTTTCTGTATGTATATTTCACCATAAAATACAGAGAACTACATAAAATGCACTAACTGTGAGTTGTAAAAGCGACTGTACTTATTCTTACTCTGTACGTTACTGTTGGTATTGCTCTTCTACACAGAAGGATGAAAGGCACAAGGGACCAGTCATGGAGTGTCAGAACCGAGGAATCCAAGTCTCAGCTGATACTCCTTACCACAGTGCTCTGCTGTTTGTCCTGCTCTATCATGTCCCACTTCCAGTAGCCTTCACCTTCTATTGCATGTTACTGTGGCACAAGCGAGCATTGTCGCATTGTTCACGCTTTGTTTAATGGACTCTTCCGTTAACTTTTCCAATGTATTCTTTCCCTGCTCCCCCCATCTCCATCCTTCCACCTCCCTCTTTTTAGTGATGGGTACAGGACAAACGGATGCTAGGTCAGTGCTCTACCCTGGGCCACACCCTAGCCAAACTTATCCTGATTTTCTAGCCATAAGACTAATGCAAGGACAGAAAGCAGATAAGGTTTTGTATCAGAAATCAGTATCTGCCATTCACCTATGTAATTTAGCACTATCCGTTTAACCTCCATACCTGCAAAATCCAAACAATAACACTCACCTCACCAGTTTATATATGGGTTAAAAAGAGTGGTGAATACAATAGAATTCTGTACTGAGAAATGTTTAGATGTATTATCATTCTCCTCAATAAACAAATAAGAATATTTTAATGCCACCTTTTAAACTTCTCCCTTTTAAATGAAGACTTCATTAATGGTAAACATATAGGCAATTGCCATCAACATGCCACTATGTGACACAGATGCCAGAAACAAGTTCTGTTCCCCAAATATGTTCATTTTCTCTTCTCTGTTCTTTTCCCTTTCATTTCCCTCTTTGGTTCTGCTTTTCTGCCCAACGGATAAGCCAGCTAAGTCCTTATTGGTACTATGAAAGACAAACAAATGCTAAAGAAACACACTAAACAGTATCTTGTAAGAGTAACATTTCAAAGAGACTGGAAGGGAAAGACAAACGTAGCCCAAAGGCTGAGTACTTACACAGTAAGTGACAGAGCCCAGCCCTACAAAAAGAGGAAAAAAGTATAACCCAAACTAATACCATCCCCAAATAAATATTTTGTTTCCACACGCTATATGGATTAGAAGGGCAGGAATTACTAAGATAGCCAAAATATAAATGAGGAACCCTGAACACATTCGTTCAACAAGTGCTTACTGAGTTCTACGATGGGAATATGTATTGAGAAAAATAGAAAATTAAGCCACACTTCCTACCATCAGTAAATTTTAAAATATGATCTATAAAGCAGAGAGACGTAATCTCCCCTAAATCTCTCAAGTGTTAAGCCCAGTAGCATACAGATGCAATGCTAGTTTTCAGTTCATTATTTCAATTTTAGTTCAACTCTATACCAATCACTGGCCCTAGTTTCCAAATCAGCTTAGAAAGAGATCAGTGAAAGACTCATTCCAAGTTATAACCTAGGCAATCGGAATAGCTTCAATAACCGTGGATGTGCAAAAACAAAACAAACAAGGTTTATCCGAGGTTCAAAAGTTTTTTTTCAATTGACTCTTTGAAACAGAATCATATAGCACACGTAGACTTCTGAATGTGAAGCAAAGGAGCATTTTTTTTTTTTTTTTTTTTGTAGTTGTTCTCAACCTTCCTAATGCTGTGACCCTTTAATACAGTTCCTCATGTTGTGGTGACCCCCAACCATAAAAAGATTTTGTGGTTATTTCTTAACTGTAATTTTACTACTGTTATGAGTTGTAATGTAAATATCTGATATGCAGGATATCCGGTTGCGATGCACAGGTTGCGAACCACCCGCCGCTTGAATGTGAAGTATATATTGCTTGAAGGCAAGTGCTACTGGAATCCCTTTAAAATGGGAGCAACTATGATAACGTTCATTTCACTAACATAGTTGAAAAGCTAAAATAGAAGTTTGACCTTTCAATTTGTTTATTTTGTGGCAAGGTTTTACTCTGTAGCACTGTTGGTCTCAAATTTGCAAAGCCTCCCCCAGCATGATCAAACTGGGCTCCACTGCTTCCTTGACATAATAAAACAAGTCAGTTCACTTGCTTGCCTTAAGTTTTCTTTAATTTATTTATTTATATTGTATGTACATTGGTGTTTTTGCCTGCATGTGGGAGGGAATTGGATCTCCTGGAACAGGGAGACACATGGTTGTGAGCTGCCATGTGGGTGCTGTGAATTGAACCCAGGTCCTCTGGAAGAGCAGCCAGTCCTCTTAACCACTGAGCCATCTCTCTAGCTCCTTGCCTTAACTTTTAAGGCAAAAAGCTAAGCTTCTAGGGCAAAACAGACAAAAGTTAAGGAGATTAAGGAGGCCCTTGGTCCCAGGGTTCAGTTAAACTCTCTCACCTAGGAGTCAAAGATTCCAGAAAAATTAAGAAAATCTGCCATTGGGATGACCCACATAAAGATATTATTTTTATAGAGATATTTCAAATGAGAATAGCAGTGAACCATGCTTAAGGCTGGAGTGTACTTGAATATGGTCTTACTCCTTTTTTGAGGTATAAACGTGTACTTTGCTGGGAATTTCACAAACAAACAAGAATATAACATGTCCTAATATCCCTCGTACAACTTTTCTGACCTATGGTTTTACCTTATCGGCCTGAAATTCTATCCAGTGCATCTCACAGACCACCACTGTATGATCTCATGTACCAAAAGAGGAGAGGGGAATATATATATGTGTGTGTGTGTGTGTGTGTGTGTGTGTGTGTGTGTGCGCACGTTCATATGGGACGTTGCTAAGAGACTTAAGCTCTACATTCCAGGGAAGCTCACACCTCACACACTGGGCATACTGTCTTTTCCCTAAGCACATGCTCCATTAACACTCATGCTTAAATCTAGGTTTAAAATCTTTTCCTAATAGATTTAAAGCTGCTTCACACTGACTCTTCCTAAAATTCTTTTCTGTAGCCTACGTAAGAATCCCACTTCAACTCAGTGGTGGTCTCTGAAGAGAATGCCCCAGGCTACTACAGGTTAGTATGGAACTCTAACTCCCACTCAGTTTAGTTTCTAAACTGAAGGCATGCCTAAATTCAGCGAAAATTAGTCCTTTTGAGTCTCAGAGATTATTCTAACTAGGAACTGAATGCTATTATGAAAGAGGAGAAATTTAGGAAGGTTCTTGGATCTCAGCTGGCCTTACAAAAATGAGGCGGAGATTACGAAAAGATGGAGAGAACGGAAAGAAATTGCCTTCCATCACTTAGCTAGCGAAGCCACAGAGAGGAATGCAATCAGGTCATGCTGGTACCCAGTGCTATTTCCTCCACGTCACAACTGACGCCACCTACTTACAAAGTGAGCACTACCAGGCCGCTGTTTCCGGAACGTAAAAGTGCAGATTTGGGCCAGTTATTGGTTGGAGTCACCCTCAATCTTTGTTCCCTCGTTATCCCTGCACTTCTGGTAGGGAGGGTAATTTTTGGATCCCAGGTTTTGTCGGTGGGTCGTTGTTCCCTTCCTTTGACTAGTCCTGCCTGGCTAAGAGGTGGTCACTTCAGTATTCATCCCCCCAACCCTCACCCCATTAAGGAGTCTCAGCTAAAGCCACACCCATATCCTCCCAGGAACCCATCCTGTTGCAGGCCTCCAGCTTGACAAAGAGGTGTCTCCCCTCAGTTTCCCTTCTTGTTCCCAGCCTTCTTACCTCCTATTCCCGTTTTCCCCACATCCTACCGCTTTCCTTGTTTCCCCCTGATACTAATAATGATACTTTGCTATCCTTACAGACAGGAGCTTAACTTGACTGTTGTCTGGAAGGCTCCACCCAGCAGGGGATCAGGACAAATGCTGGGACTTGCAGCCAAGCAAAGGGGATCCTATGGAAGTGTTGGGGAAAGATGGAAGGGCCTGGAGAGAACAGGAACCCCACAAGAAGACCAACAGAGACAACTAACCCAGTCCCATGGGGGCTTTAGTGATTGAGACATTAACCAAGGAACATGCATTGTCTGGGCTGAGGCCCCCTGCACATGTGTAGCCGAAGGGCAGCTTGGTCTTCATATGGGACCAGCGGAGGGAGAGGTGTGTTTCTAACGTGGACTCTATTGCCTGCTTTTGGATCACTTTCCCTGTCAGGGCTGTCTTGCCTGGCCTCAGGGGATGAAGATATGCTAGTCCTCAGGTGACTTGATGTGCTGGGGAAGGTTGATATGGGGGAGGGGACTTCTACTTTTTGGTAGGAAGGGGAGAGAGGAAGGGGGGAAGAGGAAAGGGAGGACCCTAGGAGGAGAGGTGGGAGGGGGCACCCTTGGGATGTACAAGTAAATTTAAAAAAATGAAATTAACAAATAAAGAAAATAAAGAAAAGAAGAAGACCAAAAATATTCTTCCTCAGATCCCCCCTTGCAGGTTTATCCAAAGGCAACACTGCCCTTGATCACAGATCATAACTTTTCTTAGGTCAGCCCTTGGTATAAACATGTTTTCTGGTTCCCAGTGTTCATCTCCTCCTTGTCTCTTGGGGTATATGGTTGATAGCCCAAGGCTATGTACTTTCTCCACCCAGACTCTTGTAAAGAGTCCCCTTATTAAGCCCTTCTTGTGATAGTTAATCTACATGTGCTGGTCAGTAGTAATGACCATCGTGGCAGAATCACCTGGGATATGGGCCTCTGGACATGCCTGTGGGGTTATCTTGATTAGATTAATTGAAGTGGGGAAACTTGCCTGCTGTGTGTGGGATCTCAAGTTACAGTGATAAAAAAGAGAACTGAGCCACATGCATTCACTGTGCACTGGCTTCCCCGCCATGATGTACTTCACCTGTACTGTGAACTAAAATAAATACTTAATTTCTTAACAACAACAAAAAAAGTGCAAACTTCACTAATTTTAAAAATGGCTTCTTAAGGCCAATAGGAAAAAACATACATTCCATACATACCAACGAAAGAAACATCTGAAATTAGCCCGGGGAATGGAGTTACGAAAGTTATAAACACCTTGGGCTAGTCACTTTCAGGAAGGGCTATTCTGCTAGGTACTAGAAAGGAAAGTATGGCTGATTAAAGTGTGACGATGATTCAAGCTGACTCCAAACCCAGGCAGCAAGGAGCTGGGCTGGCTGTGGTTGTGGCAGCATCGTGGACAAAGACTGGGCTTGCTTACCTGCTTACCTTGCTTACCTGCAGCCTGGTTATGACCTGAAGAGCCCAAGTGTTCTCACACCCTCCTTATAAATAGCCATAAGCAAATCTAGGCTAAGATGCTAGCGCTAATTTGCAGAAAACACTATGGTAAGGTAAATATTTCTATGGACACAAACATCCAAAAAGTTTATGTTCTTTTTTCAGAGGCTAAAATTAGTTATTATCTAATACATTTACATATATCATAAAGTCTAAAATACTTTATATTGAGTTTACTAGGCCATGGCTTCAACTATTCAACTATCTTCCTTCAGTATAACAGACAGTATGGAAGTGAGTGTGCATGGCTGTGTTCAATAACACTTTACAAAAGGAAAATACAGGCAACACAAGGTGAAATCTGGTAAGAGGTTACCTATCTCTGTAATATAAAGCAAGGGGAATCTTGCCTTTTAAAAAAGGTATCCTGGTAGAAGCAGTTATTTTATGTATATGTTTTCTCCATAAATCTGCTATAGTCTACTAACACACTTACCTAAATTCCTTCCCTATTAATAAGTTACCAGTGTGTTAATAGCTAATAGCTATAATTGAACAGTTCTGATGTCACATTTTTCTACTCTAATCAACTAATGCTTCAAAGGGTGTTAAAATCCAGCCGAGTTGGACACAGTGTAGCCTAGAAATCACCAAAGCAATACTATGGCACCAAAGAACCTCTTCTCCAACACCAGCAACGCTAGATTCTCTGATGTTGAGTTTTGGATAAAACAAAACAAAACAAACAAACAAACAAAAAAAAAACAAAACTACTAGCAAATAACTTAAGATTAAGTGTATCATAAAAACGTAGGCCGACTAGAAATTTTTAACCTTTAAATTTGTTCACTTTTCCTTTATAAAAACATTATACTGTTTTCATTTGTAATCCAAGTTAGGAGTACTGCTGTCCTCCATTTACCCCTGTTAAATACTTAAGAATATTATAAAACTGCAATAGAAGAGTTTCACATGTAAAATAGGCTCACACTAAGATTTTGAGGAGAAATCTAAAGCTGATTGTTCTCAAAGCTCTAGTGGGCAAAGTTTGGAAATGGAAGGTAAATTTCATCTCCTTAGAGGCATAAAAACTATGTGGCGTCTTTGTTAATATGGAAGTAGCTGATTTTTCTTGTATGTGTGGTGTGTGTGTGTGTGTGTGTGTGTGTGTGTGTGTGCTCTCGCGCGCGTGCGGAGGCCAGAAGCTGAAGTCAGGTATTTTTCCTCTACCTTACTTACTGAGACACAGTCTCTCACTGGACTTGGAAGCTCACCAATTCCACAGGACTAGGTGGCCAGCAAGCTCCCAGGGTTGAGCTTTACAAAGGTGCTGTGACACAGGTCCTCATGCTTGCAAGGTCAGCACTTCAGAGACCAGCTGTCTCTCCACCTCTGGTTTTCAAGTTTGAGAAAGTCTCACTATTTAGGCATCTAACTAGAAACCATCCCTCCACCTGCTTCACCCCCCTGAGTGATAACAAGGAGTAAGGGATTTCAAGCTTGCCCTGTGTCTATCTGGCACACAGAGTTCTCTTTAATTTGCTAGTGTCACGTGACCTGCTGAACCGTTTCGTTGAAAACAAACAACAAAACCCAAAATAAATAACAAAAACTTTTTTGCATGCCATTTGAAGGCATGGAATAGGAAAACAGAGACGGCACTCAAACCTACTGACCTCAACAATAGATAAGGCACTGACAAAGGATCCTTACAATTAGGTTTTGGACAAGTAAGTGACTGACGATAAGCAGTGTCTCCAACTCGGTAGCTCTTTCCTGATTTGTAAAGCGAGGAGAAAGCATTTGATTAGCTGCCTCACAGCTCGAGTATTCACTGCCACCCACAACTAGAGCTGGGGAAGTGGCTTGGCGGTAGAGAGATTTCATTGCATCCCTCAAGCCCTGGGTTGGTCTCCAGCATCTGTCCAGTGTGGTAGGCACACCAGGGACTTCCACTCTCAATTCCTCTCTCTAGCTCTCTCCTGCAATTATCCCAGGAGTCCTCTCAACCCGGCTCATATAACCTTTCCTATCTTTTCCCAAAGCCTCCAGCAGACTCAGACTTCCTCAGATCCCGTGGACTCCCCGCACTCGACCTACTTGAGGGACGTGCACGACTCGGGAGCAGTGTCCCCAACCCGGGGCTTGGCAGACCCCTCCGTAGTGACAGCCCGTGGCCGCAAGCTCACTCAGCCTTTCTCTCCTCGCCTGGGTTCCCTCTCCGACTGTCCCAAGGTGAGTTTGTCAGGAACGAGATCGTGCTCTACCTCAGCAGGCCAGTCCCTCTACTTCGGAAAACCAGATCAGGAGGTGAAGACCTCTTCGCAGACCTCTCAGTTAGCAGCTGCCGAGCGACTTGTCCCCAAAACAGGAAGTGGCAACGGCTTAGGCCGCGGGGGCTGGCGGGGGATGAAGTCCTAGGTGCGCCCAGCCCGCCGTCGCTGTCAGAGGGCCGTCACCGGGAACTACAACTCCCAGAGGGCTGTGCAATAGCCAGCCATGCTCCCTCCGAATGCCGCCGGCTCTCGAGGCTGGGTGTCTGAGCAGGTCCTCGAAACTTTAGCTAGTGGCGTCCTCGGCCGGAAGAGAGAAAAAGAAGCGGTTCTCTTGCGGAGTTTTACAGCATCACAGGCCACGTGTGAAAAGGTTGATGTGGCTGACGCCCCTGGTGACTTTTTTCTCAGGCTTTCCTGTAGTCAAGCGCTTGGACGCTGTGGATACGGAGGGCAGCTGGAGAGGGGTGGGGTTGCGGGGGTCGGTAGTGGGAGCTGTTTGCATTGAGTTCTCCCTGTTTTGTTTTGTTTTTTTTCTTTTTGGGAGGGGTTTGTTTGTTTTTTCGAGGCAGGGTTTCTCTGCACCGCCTTGGCTGATCCGGAACTCACTTTGTAGAACAGGCTGGCCTCGAACTCATAGATCACCTGCTTCAGCCTCCCCAGTGATGAAATTAAAAAGACCTACCGCACCACCGCCCGGCCTCTGTTGTTTTTTTGTTTTATTTATTTATTTATTTATTTATTTATTTATTTATTTATTTATTTATTTATTTATTT